GCCATCATCGATTCAGTAGCCTTTGGAGCCTTGGCGCTCATTTTTCACTCGGGACACCAGCCTAGAGTCATTATGTTCTTCTCCTTCGTCTTCATCCCTTAGGCGCCGAACTGCTTCTTCGGTCAGAGGGATGGTATTATTTCTCGGCTTACGAGATGTCCTTGTCTTAAGTTCTGGATCCTCAGAAGTAGAGGCCCTTTTTCTCTTGTTGTCCTTCGCCGGTTTTCGAACCGAGGCCGAAGCCTCTTCCTTGCCAGACGGGGGCCTCATGACCACATCTTTTCCTTGGCCTACACACAAGAAAGTTAATTAAGTATAGGAAAATCATTATGTTCGAATCATCGAATACATGGGAAAGAGGCTTACCATGATTTTTAGCCTCACATCGTCCCTTTGATAAGTCGCACCACGAGCGCTCGGCATATGTGGAGGTCGAAGCCAGGTCCCGTACCTAGATCTTAAGGTTAGGAATAGCACCGGGCATCCAAGCAACCGCTACATCACGGAGAAGGATATCGGTAAAAAAGAAATAAAGGAGCAAAACAATAAGACCTAACAGTAGAAATTATACTTACGCTTCATGTTCCATTCCTCGGGAAATGGCATCTTCTCAGCCGGGATTAGGTCCGGAGTCTTCACTCGAACGAACCTGCCCATCCATCCCCGGTCCTTGTCCTCGTCTATGCTCGAGAACATCATTTTGGTAGCCCGGCGCTGGAGTTTTATTAACCCACCTCGATAGAGGCGGGGGCTGTACAACCTAATGAGATGGTCGAGGGTGAAAGGCATCCTCTCGACTTTGTTCACGAAGAAGCGGATCAGAATAACGATCCGCCAAAAGGAAGGGTGAATTTGGTATAGAGTTACTTGGTATTGGCAACAAAAATCGATGACAACAGGATCGAGGGGGCCCAACGTGAAAGGGTAAGTGTGCACACTTAGAAACCTTTCACATGAGTAGTAATATCTTCTTCGGGAGCCGGGATTATCACTTCTTTGTCCTCCCAATTGCAATCTTTCCTTAGTTGTTCAAGATGGCCCTTGGTAATCGAGCACATGTACCTTGATACTGGCTCGCATTGACCAGGAACCGGCGAAGCTTTATCGATCTTAAAATCGGAGGTAAGAACACACACCTCGGGAACACACTCCTCAGGTCGTGGCTCCACCGGTGTTTTGTCGCCAACGGGCCGCGAAGAGGAAGCTTTTTCTTTCTGAGGAACGATTTTTGACATTTTCGCCATCGGGATTTGAAGATTGAAGATAGAGGAAGATGACAAGATTTGGTGTTCTGAAGAGGGATTTTGCAGTGAAAATCACAAATTAACAGATGAAGAACTCAGAAGATGCGAAAGGAAACTTAGAAGATTTGGAGATGTAAAAGGGAACTTAGAGGATTTGGAGATGTAAAAGTAAAAAGTGATAAAAAGAGGGGTTATTTATAGGATTGGCAATGACGGTTCTGTGTCAACAAAGGCTGACCATCATCTGACACGCATTTAATGCCTTGATAAACTGAACCGACGGGACATCTATCACGTACGTCATGGTCGGGCTCGGCGCAAACGCCAGTTTGTATCGAGTCATACCGCTTGAAAATCATGTCGTTTCTCGCCACATTCTTCCCGAGAAACGAGAAGACTATCTGTATACGGTCAAAACTGATTTTGACCTTCGTATGATTAGTCAAGATTGGAACATAATGGACCGAAGGTCATCTTCATAATATCTGTGAGCACCTAATTTATAATCCCATTTCGAATAATGTCACTTAAATTGAAAAAACTCTCATATCCCTTATCCCCTCGGGAAAAAGGAGGTATGACAATATCGGGTATGAGGTCCGAAGCCAGGTTACCGAGCTCGAAGTCATTACCGAGCCTGAGCCCGAGTCCAAATCGAACTATGAAGTGAAGCGGTATGGTCGAGCTTAAGAGCCAGAGACCGACCTATATCGAGCCCTATTCGATACCGAGCCCCGAGCCAATATTGAGCTCGAGTTAATATCGAGCTCTAAATCTGGAAATCTACCGGTACCGAATCCGACCAAGATCGAGTCAAGAGACAAAAGCCGTTACAGCCGCACTAAGGGAGAGAATCTCGACGAAAATTAGGGAAAAGCTAATCTATCATGGGATCCAGAGGCGGATCCAGAATTTGAAGGTTACGGGTGCCAAGTTGGTCAATTTGATCAAATTTAGCCTTCGGTTTGGGTCATACATCTTTCCGATTAATACAGATAAAACTCGATCAAATGAAAAAATATAATAATTATGAGTACTTGGCGCAAGACATAAAACTTTCACTAATATTACTAGTATCATAAATATACATCATTCATTTATCATGGTCTGTGACGAGTTTTCATATTTTGAAAATGGTAAATAATGTCGAGTTTGGGGGAGGGGTTTTGTTTTAAAAAACAAGTGTCAACTATAATGTGTTTGTCAGTGTACTTAAGTTTCTTTAAAGAGATTGCTCTCAACGGGACTGGAACGCTCGACCAATGGAAAGAAAAGCTAGACCTTTGCCACTGACACCTCCGTCCCTTTTGTTATTATGGGTGGCACTCTATATATTTATACCATTTATTATACATATATATATATATACGCATACAGTTTCTGCCAAAGCTTGCGGGTGTCGTACCACCCCGAATCTACTACATAGATCCGCCCCCTGATGGGATCCCCACTATGTATTTTTAAATATATTTAAAGTAGGATTCCTCCACTATAAGAGGGATAACTACTATTTCTGTAAGAAAAAAACATTAAGACATTAATACACTCTCATATTATTCAAAGAGAAAAACATACTGATATCCATATAGAGATTATCCTCTTGTGAGCTTTATACATTGATTCATCTTGCTTGTTCATAAATTAACTTTCTATTCAATTTGGTTTGTATTTCATTCTTTATACAGTCGATACTCAATATATTTCTATTTACTTTTCGATTTGTGCCAAGTTATACCACGTATCCTTAGAACTACGTATAAATTCAACTCTATCCGTTTTTCGGGTAAACACTATTAATAAAAGAAATGTTTTACTACTATATCCTTATTTAATAAACTTTTAGGTTTTCTATGCTATGTAGTCAACGTTTTTACTTTTAAGAACATTTGATACTAAGGGCAAAAAGAAAAGAAAGTAATCAATTATACCTTGATTTTCCAAAACGGCAACTAATTTGTACCAAATGTATTAGTAACCACCACAACTATTATAGACCGCAAGGGAGTATTTTCACCACCATTTATATACGAGGACATTTTAGTGCGTGACCTAGCTAAACTTGTGTGTGTTAATATGAGCTTTCACTAGTTATTTACACAGATAGCCGACGATATTTATTGTTTATTTTTTCTAACCATATAAATTAATTATACATAATTATACACATATAATACATAAATTATGCATATATTATACCTCAATCAGCTATTTTTAATTTAAGTTGTTGGGTGAGTGGCTATTTGGGTTAATTCTTCAATAAATAAACTAATACTATAATAGATGCTTTTAAACTGAAATATGTGTTGGAACTGGGAAGAAGTGGACTTCGTAAAGCACCTGAATAACCTATGAAGCTTTATTAACCGTTTCGATGGCATACTCCAAGAAAGAAGCCAATTCTTTCATAGTCATAAAATTCGAGAATATCGAATAGTATATGGCAAAGTGATCGAATATACTTTACATTATGCGACGTGGCGGGATGGATGAAATTTATCCAGCGTTAACCAAAGGTTTTAGGTTCGATCTTTGGGAATTAGCAACATTTAAGACGTCACGTTTTTTTCTTAGACGAGCCGTACACTGCGCGAATATAAATTAATTAAGCTGTTGGATTTCGAATAAAGCAAAAGACATAGGTCCGTAGGATCTGTCTTGACAAGGTAATGATCTTATTGGTCAGTTAAAAGGAAAAAAAATACTGACTTCAATTCCAAAATAACTTCTCTGTCTTGGGCTAGTTCTTTTTTTCCTTTCATTTCCAGTATCTTTAGCTGACAGGTCAACCATTGTACTAATCAAACCTTGTTCACCAAGCAACAGATTGTTTGTTTGCCCATTGACTAAAAAGGATAATCTTATTTGACTTTACTATAGGACAATAAAAACACTTTGAGCTTACAACAAAAAAAGTAAAAAAATACAAAGAAAAAGAGCGGTATTATTGAACCAGAAAAAACAACAAGCGATGAAACCAATGACGGATAAAGCCCCTTAACTATAAGCTAAGTAAGCCTCTCTATACCATACATGTGTGCGTCGAGCCTTTCATTTAGAGCTGGACGATATATATATGAAACTATGAATTCAAGGGTCCTTTGGTTGAAAAAGTTGCATTTGAACTAATGTATTCAATCAAATGCGCAAGTAAAAAGGATTTAGTTTATATACAGAGTGTAAATAATTTTCACATATTATAATTGGTTATAATAGGTTCTTTATATTACTTTTTAGGCCAGCTACCAAATTAGGCATAATATAGACAGTTGCCTTTCATAATAAGTCATTCTTACCTGATGGCCGTGTAGAAAAACTACATACTGCCAGTGTATAGAAGTTAACTCGCGTTAAGATGAAATTTCAAAAATTCTGTCCTTACCAAAAACTCATTGGTGAGTCTGTATTTCAACTTTGGAAACCCAAAGTTGTAGAGGAGCAATAAGAACAAAAAAGAAAGAAATAGTTCTATTTCTAAGCCCTAATTATTAGCTATTAGCTATCTTCATATTGCCAACACTAAGCATTCTAATAACTACATTATATGCCATGTTTGCTGCTCTGTTCAAAGCAATTTCTTTCTTTACATGGCACATGCCTTTTTGTCACGATCCAATTTAGGATCATGACCGGCGCTTAGGAGCGAGTGCTCCCAAGTAAGCCTTATCGGTAATTTACAAAAAATCGGATAGAGTTTTTCCTGTTTTAGGACTATCTAAAAATAAACCTGTCTCAGAAATCAACAACACAACCAACCTATATCGACCAAACAAGTTTTAATCCTCATTCGTGAAATATTTCCAACACAATAATACTAACTTCATCTCCAAGTATACGATAAGAAAGACTAATACGAGTAAGTCTATATCAATAAAAGAATATTTATGACTCATAAAAATGACTATGGAGGGAGCGACTCTAAGAGTTTTAAGAAAGAGACTATAACAAATAAATAACAATCTTTGGCCACACGAATAAATGAGGGGCTCACCAGGAATTGTCAACTCGTGTACTCTAATTAACGGAATCCTCATTTGTGTCTATTGTTGTCTCTGTAAAAATAATAGTGGGGAGTGAGTCGCTAGCTCAGTGAGTAATAATACTTAACCACAACTATTTTTAATTGAGGACAAGTCAGAAAACATGCTAGTATATCAAACAGAAAATATCATAAGAATGCCCTTTCTAAAACGGTAAATATAATCAGTCTTTTCATGTGTTTCCTATAACCGAAATCAATTTAACAAATCGGTAATAAACTCAGTAAATACTTTCTCATAGCAAATCTTTATGTTTGGGAGGTTTACAAGAAAGGATCACGTAATCTGTATCACTGTGTGGACCCCTTCGTAAAAGGAGTCAAATATAACTATAGATCCCTACTCGAGGGAAAACTGTAACTATATGCTAGTTCTACCTTCCCACTAGCGACGGTTATAACTGCACTCGTTAATCGGTAAATACAAGGTGCACCAGGTCTAACTAACCTGTCGTTAGCTACGGGATCCTTCAAAGTCTCCTCACATTTATACTTTTCTTTGTAAACAGTAAATATTCACGTGGAAGCATTTTCAAAATAGTACAGGGCATTTCAATTCTTATTAAATTATGTAATCCAAATTCCGGTAACGGTAATCATATCTCAAGTGACAGTAAAACATATCTAGCAACAATGAGAACCTTTTAAATAACTGTAAACATCTCAAGTAAACTATTCAATATCATATCAAGTAAAGGACTCGTCTCACATGCAATTTCAAACATTCGGTAATACCTTTTATTTTCAAAATATAGTATAAACCATGCAAGTTATGAAAACACAAATTGCGGTATAATTACTACTCACAGTACTCGTGTCAAAATACCAAATTCGTCATCTCGAGCGATTTGCACACTTTCTTCAATTACTCTATAATCACGTCAACAATGAACTCGTGTTAATTTTCTTGTTTAGGCTAATTCTTAGTTAATTTAATTTAGAATACATAACCCTCGAGGTTTCATATTTGACTCTTAATTCGCCGAATCGTATTTACTCATGCTATGAGTAATTTAAATTAGTCCAAAATCTTCTTTATAAAAAAAGGCATTTATGTAGTTTAATCCATGTACTATTCAATTTCTTTAATCATGTATATAAGTTAAAACTTAAATAGCATTATTATCTATATATCTTTTTTTTTATCCTTCAATTTTCAATACCTGGTGGAATCCCATGAACATATAAATCGGGATTTAGAGAAATCCTAGAAACTGAAGAAGAATCAAAGAAAGGGAAATATTGATCTTTTTGTGTAGGAATCAACAATGAAGCTTTATAATCTTTCTTCCTTCTTCCTTCTTGAAATTTACTAATAAAAGCTTCTCTTTTCCCTTAAAGCATTGCTGCCCATGAATTTCCTCTGCGTTAGAGTTCTTTTATTTTCCAAAGCTTTTTTTTCCTTTTGTTGTTTCCCTGCCGTGAGCATTCGCCCCTTTCCCTTATTCCCTTTCTTTCTTTTCCTTTTGGCCAGATTTTCATCTGGTGGGCTTGGGCCCTTTTGGTTCATCTTTTTTTTATTTTTAAAGTAGTTGCTAATGGCCAATAAAATTAGGGGATATTACATCCTCCCCACCCTATAAAAATTCGGTCCCCGAATTGAACTCAAGTACGTACTTGTTTACTGGAATAAATTAGGATATTTGGTGTGCATACCATTTTCTACTTCACAAGTAGCTTCTTCAACGGTATGATTTCTCTATAAGACTTTAACAAACACAATCTCTTTTGATCGTAGCTTTCTTACTTGTCTATCAACAATAGCCATCGGCTCGTTCTCGTAAGATAACTTCTTATCAAGTGGTATAGTCGGTGCTTCAAGAACTTGAGAGAAGTCCGATATATATTTTTTTTAGCATACAGATATGAAACACTGGATTAGTAAAATACAACTCAGAAGGAAATGCCAAACGATAAGCCACAGCTCCCACTCAGTCTAGTATCTCATACGGTCCTATAAACCTAGGCTCAACTTGCCTATTTTCTCAAACCGCATCACACATTTCATAGGGGAGACTCGTAGGAACACTGTGTCCCCGATTGTGAACACTAACTCTCTTCTCCTCTTATCCACATAAGACTTTTGTCTATTATGAGTTGTGAGCAATCTGATCACTGGACCTTGTCAATAGCTTCTTGTAATAAGTCGGGTCCTAAAAAGTTAGTCTCATAGGCTTCAACCATCCGATAGGAGAATAACATCATACACTTATACAAGGCTCCATATGGTGCCACCTAAATATTAGACTGAAAGCTATCGTTGTAGGCAAAATCAGATATAGATATATAAGCGTACAAGCTACCTCCAATAAGTTCTCAACATATCTTTCAAGATCTGTATGGTACATTTAGACTGCTCGCCTGCCTGCCAATAAAATAGAATACTAAGATCTACTCGTGTAACCAATGTTTCTTGGAAAAGTTTTCAAAATCGTACAGTAAATTGTGATCTTCTATCAGAAATGATGGATAGACCCTGTATAGTTTGACAATTTTCTATTCATGTATATTTGAGTATATTTATCCTCAGTGTGAGAAGTTTTAACGGGCAAAAGTGTGCCTACCATGTAAGTCAATTTTCAGTTACTTTATTACCGCATATAATTATAACTTCTAATTGTTTGAGGTAGTTTTCTCATAAAATTCACTTTGATTCTATTCAATTTTCTCTATGGAATCCCGAGTTGTTGTAGTGCGCCTCTGAGTCATAAAGGTTGACATGCTAACAAGTTAAACTGTTAGAAACAAGGTTAAGTTAATCTTTGTCCTTTTTCCACAAATATAATTTTCTTCTAGTCATGGTACATCTCACTAGGCTCCGAATGTACAACGTATTTAGAGTTGTGAGTTCCTCAAGAATAACTCATCTTAACACATCTACATGTAGTACACATATCTAATTACCTAGTTGAGAATACAATTTCTGTCAATAGTTATATCCTCGCTTTTACTAACTAGAACCTCATCTCGATGTTTGCACAATAGCTCATCTTTATATTAAGTGGCCTTTATGTACTTTACTAATGAAAATCTTACTTGAACACAAGCCAACAATGGATCTGAAATTTTTCACACTAAATCTGACACCTATACCATTTAGTTTGTGCATATTCTTAACCAAAAGTCTCTTTATAGGAGCTATATATGTCTAACTACCTTTTTTTCTGCATTAGCCACAATAACGGACTTTCCAAAATGATACAGAGTAGTGCAATCATAGTCCTTCAATAGTTTTATCCGTCTATGTTGCTGAAGGTTTAGATATCTCTACTGGAAACGTACTTCAGACTCTTGTAGTCTATACAAATCTCGCACAAATAGTGTCTCTAGACCCTCAGAGCAAATACAATTATAGCCATCTCCAAACTATAAGTGAGATAGTTCTGCAAATATTTCTATAGTTGTGTTGAAGCATAAACTATCACGTGATCATTCTACATGAGAATATATCCTAATTCGACATTGGAAGCATTACATAACACTATGAATCCTCTAGAACATAATGGTAAGGCTAATACTGGTGAGGTTGCCAAACATATTTTCCTTTTTTTTCTTTCTGTTTCTGAAAGTTAATCTCACATTACTTCGTCTGCTGAAACTTTGCATTTTTCTAAGTTAACTTGGTTAGCGGCGTTGTTATTCTAAAAAATTCTACTGAAACTGCCTAAAATAGTTTGTGAAGCCCGAGAAGCTGCGATTTATGAAAGAGTAGTGGGTTTTGACTATTTTTTGAACTAGTTCTATCTTTTTAGGATCTAACATAATCTTATTTTTTAGATACAATATTACCGAGGAATACCACACAGTCTAGCCAAATCTCACACTCGGAGAACTTGGCATAAGTTAAATTTTCTTGCAGCGTCTATAATATAGTTTCGCGTAATCCTCGTGTTCTTCCTGGCTACGAGGTAACATCATCAATAAATACTATGAGAAATCTTCCCAAAAACATCATGAACGCCCTATTCATTAAGTCTAACAATGCAACTAGAGTATTTGTAAGTCCAAAAGATATCATAAGGAACCCATATAATACCACACCGAGTGTGGAATGCTGCCCTAGGAATATATTATTCTCTAATACTAGAAATTCATTAAGCAGATCATTTATATGAGGCAATGGGTACCTATAGCGCATCATTACCTTTTCAATTGATTTTAGTCGATGCACACCCTTAATGACCCATCTTCCTCTTTCACAAATAGTACTAATGGTGCACCCCATGAAAATATACTCAATCTAATAAAACTATTGTCTATTAGGTCTTGCAACTGTTCATTTAGCTCTTTCTAACTCCGTTGGTGTCATGCCATATGGGGGTTTCGATATAGGTTATGTTAGGTATCAAATCAATGCCAAAGTCTATTTCTGCTACTGAGATAACCCTGGTAAATTCTCAGAAAATACATTAAATAATTCTCTAGCTATTGGTACATTTTTCAAGCTAGGTGTCTTATCCCTTATGTCTCTTATCATAGCCAAGAGACCCCAGCAATCATTCTTTAGTAATGTTGAGCTTTGATACATGATATAACCTTATTTATCTTTGGAGCTTGTTTACATTTTAGGATGAAACTAGGTTAATTCAGTATCCCAAACTCAATTTCCTTTACATGGAAATCAAGAGTAGCATGGCAAGAAGATAACCGATCTATTCCAAAGTAGACCATATTAAGTAATATCAAGTTGACTAGGATATCTTTATGTTCAACTTGAATTTGACAAGCTTATTAAACATATTCGGTTAACTCAGATTCTCCCACATGATTAACAACCCCGAAAGGTCATTCAAAATCTCACCGTCTATGTTTCCAGTTGTTTGACTCGCACTAAAATACTCATCGACAGAATTCCCAGTCTTGTACTTCCTCCGTAAAAATTTATTGCATGCCTATCATGTCTATATTTTCAATATCTTTAGCAAGCTAGCTATCGTAGAATAGGCCATACTTTTTGTATACGAGGTTACTGTCTTATTTAAAAGGTTAAGCACCCCTTAGATAATTTCTTAAGGTTGAGATAATGTGTATCTAGCTAGCTGGGGAAGTCTATTGTCATATATTGGTATCCTAGTGTGTTAACCAATTTCTTACCTTGTAGATTCACGCTTTTGGCTTCAAAGAATGAAGCAATTCATGAATAGTTTAGAGACTTGTTCCAAATCAATTGTGTTGCACCTATTTATGTTCCTAACAGTACGATATCATACCATATATTTATTGACCATGCTCCCCAGGCCATAAGTTTCTAGCTCCATGAGTCTCTTATTAGAGCATCCTAGAACTCGTAATGTAAGTATTTCATCAAGAACCTCTTAGGATCCTCCGAACAATCAGAAACGTTAAACATGGTGGTTTTAATTTTTAGGAACTTTATTAAGGATATATCCCTGTTTTCGACCATCTTAGTTAATTTAGGTGCTTGAGGCCTTTAGGAGCCCACTTGTTGCCCATTATTCCTTGTCCATCCATTATACCTATCAAGATGAGGTAAGTACCTCAATGGTAACACTTCCATATGGCTATATTGGTGGGATAGTACTTATTTCAGGAGATGATCTTATCAGGCGTCTCGTGGTGGTAAGAAATCCTCACATGGTGGCTTAAGAGCCCTTTCATCGGCCTTTTAAGGAAGCTCTACCTCTTCCCCTTGACGGTTATCTGCCAAGGGCCACGTTTGATGCCCCTTGAACCTCTCGCCTATTCATATTATCGAGTGATTAAGATCGAGTCTTATGGTAATAAGATAAACAATGAAAGATTCAATTAGTTGACCCTAATCGTCACATACGTAAGGAAAAACAAGAAAGAAAGATAGACACATCCTATCACGCTCTCGCAGAATCACGATTATGGGAATGGCCGGCTACATAACCATAATTGAGATTCTACTACCGACGTGTGCTCCATTAGTCACAAGAATAACCTAGGCTCTGATACCAACTTTTTCACGACCCATTTTAGGATCATGATGGGCGCTTAGGAGCAAGTGCTCCCAAGTAAGCCTCATCGGTAATTTACAGAAAATCGGACAGAGTTTTCCCTGTTTTAGGACTATCCAAAAATAAATCTATCTCAGAAATCAATAACACAACCAACCTATATTGACCAAACAAGTTATAATCCTCATTGGCGAAGTATTTCCAACACAATAATACTAACTTTGTCTCCAAGTATACGATAGGAAAGTCTAATACGAGTCACAAGTCTATATAAATAAAAGAATATTTATGACTCATAAAAATGACTATGGAGCGACTTTAAGAGTTTTAAGAAAGAGACTATAACAAATAAATAACAATCTTTGGCCACGCGAATAAATGCGGGGCTCACCAGGAATTGTCAACTCGTGTACTCTAACTAACGGAATCCCCGCATGCGTCTACTGCTGTCTCTGTAAAAATAATAGCGGGAAGTGAGTCGCTAGCTCAGTGAGTAATAATAATACTTAACCACAACTGTTTTTAATTGGGGACAAGTCAGAAAACATGCTAGTATATCAAACATAAAATATCATAAGAATGCCCTTTCTAAAATGGTAAATACAATCAGTTTTTTCATGTGTTTCCTGTAACAGAAATCAATTTAACAAATCGGTAATAAACTCAGTAAATACTTTCTCATAGCAAATCTTTATGTTTGGGAGGTTTCCAAGAAAGGATCATGTAATTTGTATCACTGTGTGGAACCCTTCGTAAAAGGAGTCAAATATAATTGTAGGTCCCTACTCGAGGGAAAACTGTAACTGTATGCTAGTTCTACCTTCCCACTAGCGAGGGCTATAGCTGCACTCGATAATCGGTAAATACAATGTGCACCAGGTCTAACGAACCCGCCGTTAGCTACGGGATCCTTCAAAGTCTCCTCCCATTTCTACTTTTTTTTGTAAACAATAAATATTCACGTGGAAGCATTTTTAAAATAGTACAGGACATTTCAATTCTTATCAAATCATGTAATCCAAACTCAGGTAAGCGGTAATCATATCTCAAGTGACAATAAAACATATCTCGTAACAGTGAGAACCTTTTAAATAATTGTAAACATCTCAAGTAAACTATTCAGTACCATATCAAGTAAAGGACTTGTTCCACATGCAATTTCAAACATTCGGTAACACCTTTTATTTTCAAAATATAGCATAAACCATGCAGGTTATGAAAAGACAAATTGCGGTAAGATTACTACTCACAGTACTCGTGTTGAAATACCAAATTCGTCACCTCGAGCGATCTGTACGACTTTCTTCAATCAATCTATAATCATGTTAACAATGAACTCGTGTTAATTTCCTTGTTTAGGCTAATTCTTAGTTAATTTAATTTAGAATACATAATCCTCGAGGTTTCATATTTGACACTTAATTCGCCGAATCGTATTTACACATGCTATGAGTAATTTAAATTAGTCCAAAATCTTCTTTATAAAAAAAGGCATTTATGTAGTTTAATCCATGTACTATTCAATTTCTTTAATCATGTGTATAAGTTAAAACTTAAATAGTATTATTATCTATAATATCTTTTTTTTATCCTTCAATTTTCAATACCTGATGGAATCCCATGAACATATAAATCGGGATTTAGAGAAATCCTAGAAACTGAAGAAGAATCAAAGAAAGGGAAAAATTGACCTTTTTGTGTAGAATCAACAATGAAGCTTTATAATCTTTTTTCCTTCTTCCTTCTTCCTTCTTGAAATTTACTGATAAAAGCTTCTCTTTTCCCTTAAAGCATTGCTGCCCATAAATTTCTCCTGCGTTAGAGTTCTTTTACTATTCAAAGCTTTTTGTTTTTTTCCTTTTGCTGTTTTCCTACCGTGAACTTTCGCCCCTTTCCCTTAATCCCTTTCTTTCTTTTCCTTTTGGCCAGATTTTCATCTGGTGGGCTTGGGCACATTTTGGTTCATCTTTTTTTTTTTTTTTTTTTTTTT